TGTATTTTATGCATTTTCAGCATAATTATGTATCAGGACATAAAGTTCCAACAAGGATTATTCAAAATTGGCTTGGGTCTGATCATCTGGAAATAGGCCCAAATTTTTCACTGCAATGATCAAGGACTTACGATCTGGACCTACTGTAGCCTAGGCCTAGCCTTGGCAGATTAAACCGCTACTACTAGGCCTAGGTGCCTACTGCCGTCACTCTGGTACCTACACCGTGTAACAGAGCAACCCACGTGGTGCATTCTTAAAATATTACACGCATTTAACTTAAATGTATTTTACATATCAGGCGAGAACACAAAATCATTGATTAAATAATTATGAATCTACCACCATCGCATGCATAGACCTTGATCCTGCCTAAGCATAGGTAGTCCTCCATGGACAAACAAGCTCGGAAGTCGTTATGTACCCGATGGTCCGCTGCCTTTAGGTATACTTTGTCGCCAGTTTGCGCCCAAAGGGTACACTTCCAGCTATCCGGCTGTCGTGAATATAGTTCCTTCATGTAATTGTCATGAGGTGATTCGCCTTCATATAGTCGTCGTCATACAGCCACTGCCCTGCATCCACCGCGTTAAAATAACGGATAACAAAATGCGAAGCACACAATGACGTTTGCAGCTAGACTACCAATACAACAACACAAATAAACTTTGCATGGCTATGATGGATTTGCGAAAAATGGAGCTCGGACGAAAAAAAAAAACCCAATGTATTTTAGCAAGTATTTGAAACTTTTAAATGATTTTAAGCCTTCGCCAAAATGGCTAAAAGTAGTTGGTAATTTTTTCATCAATCCAAAATAGTAAGGGTCGCCAAACGGGGCGATACGCAAAACATTTGTTATCGCCCGACACCAAAAAAGGTCGCCACTGGTGACCGGGCGACCGCTAATTTCTAGCCCTGATATCCCCTATGTAGTACAGTAATATACTGATGTACAGTCATAATTTTCTATCTTTGGAAAGTATATGAAATAATAACAAGACCACTGAGCCTGGGCAAAATTTGTTTGGTTGGTATTGACTTCTAACCCAAGTAACTCGACGGTCTTATGTGTCTTCTAATATTTTTTTATAATACGATTACCTTAACCCTAACTTCATAAATTTAATAATTGTGCAATTTGTGTTCATTGGTAGGGTTTCTGTTTGACTAATTTCCAGTATAGGTTTTTGTTATATTTGGACAATAAAGATTAGATATGATTTGATTTAATACAGTAAGCATTATTTTTAGTCATGAAAATATGGCACCATGCAACACACAGGCCTACTGTACATTATATAAGGTATGGCATGGCACAAACCTTGTTATTGTACAGACTGGGTAAAGGTAAATATCCTATACAGTTATGTCAACATTTATCCAAGCCAAGTCAAAATTTGTAATTGATTATTGTTTATACTCGCTTGGAACATTTCAAGGAGCGCTATGTAAACATTGGTAAATTTTAAATCAGTAAGGTAAAATGTTTACTATACCATGTAATTATAAAGAAAACATAATTGTACCCAAATTACAACAGGAGCAAAATTCCATTGCTATTGTTCTGCATGTAATTGATGCTCATCTAAAGGTTGATAACATAAATGGCTGATAAAAGAGCATTTTGCTCAGCCATATCATTTATGCATCCTATAGAATTAATAGTGAAGCCATCTATTTATAATTGCACCAAGGTCGTACTAGGTGTCCAGGTTTGAATAGCTTACTTAAGTAGACCACACATACCAAGATTATAATATTGGCCATATCTATATACTTAACCTCCTTTAACCTTGTTTTGTTGCGATACTTATTAAATGTCTGGCCTGTCCAACGAGTAGGTGTATTTGAATTGTATTCAACACTATTATAATATGGGATACTTCCTCTGCCACCACAATGATTTCACACCCACCACCATGGTCACCACTGCCACTACCACAATCACCACTGCCAGCCATCTCGGTGTATATAATCAAGATCGTCATGACTTTTACTTTCCAACCTTACAAATTTTCTGGTTTTCCGTACTGGAAAAATGATAACTTGCAAAAAAGGCATAAAGTATAAAAAATAAAGAGAAAATGAATCTGTAATAATGAGTAAGCAATATTATTGAACACAATCATATAGAGAGAATAGTTTTCAATAATAGTAAGTGATATTATTGAAACACTATTCCCTGTTTAGGAACTTATACTGTCAGTAGTCAGTTGGCCCATCATTGAGTATACTGCCGCTGTACAGTTACAAATGAAATTATGTTTCATTGAGATTTTGAAGAAAGTATGCTAGAGTATTGTATGTAGTGCAGTAAGAGCAAAGACATTCTCATTAGCTTTTTTATATACAATTTTTTGCTATACTGTCAAATTCTTTGTATTAATAATGCATTTTTGGGCCTGGATCAGGTGTGCGCTTGACTCGCGGCCTGCATCAGGTGAGTACCTAGACTGGGTGGACTATGAAGGTCTCGCATGCATCTAAAGTTTGAGAGGTATGAATACAGTAGTTTAGCAGCAAACAAAGAGATACAGTAATGCTCAATGGCATGATATGTATACTAGAATGAGAGTGTCTTTACTGGCCATACTGTAGACATAAAATTTGGTACCTCAGCATTAACCATGGGCTTCCTTTTTTTAAAATTCTTGGAACTGCCAAGGGATGAGTTAATATAATGACAGTAATTGTAAGCCTAGTTTCAGAGTAGTGAGACTTCCTTGTTGTTCTTTCTGTTCTTAAAGAAGTGCTGGCAAAAAGTGATGTGAGAAAGGCTGAGAAAAAAAAATGGGGCCAGTGGTGAAACTAATGAAATGCTAGGGGATGTCGGTAAATGGAGTGCTGCCGAAGCTAAGGTGCAATTTATAAACATAAGAGGCAAATAATGAATAAAGGGAATACTTTTGAAGTGAATGCAGGATACTAAGACAAATGCCTGCTGTAGTTAAACAAATGGTGGTAAAAAGGGTGCTAATACTAGAGCAAAAGTGGATGAGGGGCTGGAAATTTTCACTACAAAATGCTCACCGGCATCCAGTAGGAAATGGAGGGATTTTGTTCAATATTATATCATAAAAAAAATATGTTGTATTGAGAAAAATATATTGTAATATTGCATTTTTATGCTCTATTATACAGTTATTATTTGGTTGTATAGTGTAATTGTAAATTTAAGTCATGTCTTGAAATATTGAAAGTGTTGACAATATTTTATTATGCATATACTGTAGGCTCCAAGAGACTTGGTAGCTCAATCCCTGAGTATATCGGTGAGTGTCTCTGAGTTTCAAACTCTCTTCAGACATCTTGCACTGCTATTATGCTATGCCATCTAGTAGTATGCTTTCTAGCCATACTATATTATGATTTTGCTCATTATTTAACTTGGTTGTTGCTTTCTAGAGTACATGGAATGATAATTATAATATATCATGGAACATTGATTATTGACAAAGTGAGGGCAATGAACATATTGGTAACATTAACACTTTGAAATGAAAGAACATTCAATGTTGCTCTTGTAATCTGTCCATCATAATATCAGAACATTAATATTTACAAAATGATGTTCCTCTAACTAAAATAGAAATGGTTGTTTGTAATGTGTGATCCTATAACTTGATTTTTGTTAGTATCCATTTCCTTGATATTTTATATTAAGGTGAGACTATTTTTATACCTTTTTTAGTGAACCATCCGATCGCCAAAAATGGTGGTTTTGAATAAGAAAATTATTATGTTTTTGGCCATTTAGCGCACCATCCGCTAAGAAAAAATTAGAAGTTTCATTTAAAAAAAAAAAAATGTGTGTTTTTATTATTGCTTCCCCTTCGCTGAAATCTCTAAATAAGATATATATTTTTGTCTTATATGAATTTAAAGCATTTATCAATCTCTTCATTACACTGTTTAATTCATTAGTACAATCTTATTTTTATTTTCTCCTCCGCGTAGATGGTTTTTGGCAATCTCATTATTACACTGTTTAATTCATTAGTTCAATCTTATTTTTATTTTCTCCTCCACGTAGATGGTTTTTGGCAAAACCATTTTGCTAAATGAGAGATCAAATGTTGTTTTGTTTTTTTCCGCCCTCCTTTGATAATCTTTAAAAAGGTAAGTTTGCGAAACAAGGTATAAAAAAGTCTCGCCTAAGTACGTATTTATTCATTGCTTTCTTTTTAAAGTATGATAGTTCTGGAGGCACTAATTGTACCATGGACATATGAGCATATAATTTTTTTTGTTAAAAAAGTTCAAAATCCACCTATTGGGTACCCTATCCCATTGTAAACCACTCTCCCTTCTGAACTGTAGTGTTTTTATTAATTTATTGACTTTTTTTTTTTGACTATTTTTTTGTCATTCCCATTTCCATTTTCATCCAGAGGGTCACCATACAGTACCTCAATCAGTGGGTCAGACTCCTTCCTTATTCTAGCAAGTCGATAGATCTCAATGTTTTCGTTGATTTCAACTGTTATGCCAATCTTAAGATCAACAAGCTTAATTTTTTTGCTGACATGGCATATTGCATGTTAGTAAATGATGATGCCATCAAGGGTGGCAAACCCAGTACCAGTAGTGATTGAACACTGTTTCATGCCTTTAGAAATATTTATTACATTATGCTGCTGCTATATATGTCCATATACTTATAATAATTAAAAGATTAATGGGAAATACTAATACAATTACCGGTAGCTTTTTTGGTAAATTGTCTCCATTAGCAGCACCTACTTTACAACAATTACACTTGCACGCTTTTCTTCGCTGATATAAATTTTGCTTTCTTTCGTAATTGTATTTTGATCTCTTTATCTTTGCCGATTTAAATAAAATGAATAGAATGAATGTGAGATGTGAATTAAATAGAGCAAGGCCAATTCTGGGGGTGTGTATTATCCATTGTAATACCTAAATAGTATATTATCTAAGTGACTTAAATTCTGTATGGACAATATACTACCTTGTCTGTGCAAGAAATTCACCCGCTGATTGAGCTGTACCTGTGTAGAATTAGTGGAACTATTAATAAATTAAGTCACCTAATATTAGTTGTCCCAGACCTGAAGCTCTAGGCCGAAGCAAAAGCTGCTGTTACACCGAATTTCCAGTGTGTTTCTGCATACGCAATAGTGAAAGCAACGCTGCCTCGACATCGGTTGTAAGTCCCGCCCCTGGATACGCTAAGGTCCCGCAAAAACCACAGTATAAATATACGTACACACTTGCGTTTGTGGGACAAGTGTGTACTGTCCTGATTGGTCAGTTGTTAAGTTTGATTAATGTTAATAGCCTCAGTATTTAATGTGCACCTTGAGTAATACCATTCTCACAGCGCCACTGAACATTTCGTTCTACCGTGGATATTGGAGCTACTGTTTGCAAATCCTTGTTGATTGATTGATTGACACTCCAAAAAGGTCCGTTCCATCACTGTCCTTCACATTAACTCATCTTTTTTGAAGAGACGTCCCATGTTCAACATTGCCTATGTGTGCATGTTTCAGAACATGTAATTTTCTGCATATGGTGCGTTTGAGCGGTACATGCATTTTCAATACCGTGTATATGCCAGGTAATCGCACAGAAATACTCCTTATATGATCCCTGCGTGCAAGTACAAAATCAACCTGTGGTACACCGTCTTGAGAAGTTACCTCAGAAGTACTTTAAAGGTCATACTTCCTGATCATTTCATAGTAGGGCGAAGTCATAACGCCCGTCCCGATTTATTATTTTTCTTTGTCGGGGTGAATTGTGTCGCAAGTACATTTTTCAGTTTTTTTGTGGGCCTCATGCTCACCGTCAATCTTTGTAGCAATTTCTTTATAATACAGAAGTGTTTCGTGGGGTGCCATCTAGCTGTATCGTATATCGTTTGCTTGGTCCGTATCAGACATCTTGCCTTGTCTGGAGCAGACAATAAGTGCACATACAGCACACACAGGCCTAGTCCTAGTTTGCGGTACAGTTTTACTCAATTTATTATTAGATGGTAGAGTCATTAACACATGATTAATGGTTGTAAAAGAGGCCTTTGGTCAACGCATGTGACCTTACACGGTTATCTACCCTGATATTTGATGGTCAAAATAGGTGTGTGTGCTCCAAACGTCTTTTTACATTTGACACTTGTTCGAGCAACACACAGTTTTTAAATTAGGGGTAATTTAACAGAACTCGCACAGATTTCTCCTTGCTCGAACACACCTATAGAAGTGAATGATTGACTACCAGTATATAAAAAAATTTACCACCAGGAGGAACGCACTGGAAATAAGTCTGCCTTTCATTCAAGTTTTTTGCAATTGGAAGAAATGCCTTCAGAACACATCGCAGCTCATCAGGGGAGCATTCCAGAATGTTGTACTTTTTGTGCATTGGCATTTGAACCTACTAGTCCTGAGCAGACGGTGATAGCAGTGATACATAGTGCCTTGCTCAATGACGACCAAGTGCTCAGAATGGGATTCAAACCCTGACTTAAAGGTTGAGAACATGAATCGTAACTTCTGCACCAATCACAATACCGATACTATGGATTTTACAATTTAAAATAGGATTGTATTACATTGTTTGTGTGTTTTTGCCACTTTGTTGTTGGTGCTATGTAGATTCCCCGGTGTGGACAATAGTGTACTGCATGCATGCATGCTATGTCAGCATTATACAAGTTCAATTACTTGCTACATAGAGAAAATAGAACAGAAGGAGTAACATCGAGCGAAGATCAAATGTACAGACCTCCTCGCCGCGATCGTAATTATCTCACCGTTACGTAACGTACTTGACAACGAGATAAGCTGAAATCGGCAAACGCGCATGCGTCGATAGCTCTTTACAATCATAACATAGCAACGTATCACGAGCGAGATCGTCGTGATTGAAGTATCGATTTAGGCCTAGGCCTTAATTAGGCCTATAGGAACTGGAGGCAACAGGAAAAATAGAAAACCAATTAAATGGTGATGTTTTAATTGGCATGTGTGTTTTGAAGAGAGTGTGCAAGTGTATTATTTTTACCTACAGGGCAGGTTGCAGGCTAGGTAGGCCTAGACCGGGAGTAGATCTGGGAATATGCCTAGGAGGAGCCTACACGATCTTCTTGATCTTTGATATTTAATTAAAAAGGCCTAGGCCTAGCTATGTTAGTTTTAGTGAATACTAGGCCTTAGCTTACCACTGGTACCTGTCGTGATGGCCAGTACCAGAACACAATTAAGGCCTTAGGCTATATTAACATTCTCTAATTCATTAATAATAAAAGTTAGTAGGCCAGTGTAGAGCCTACCATAGGCCAACACTACTTGCTGATAGACTAGGGCCTGTAATTATGCAGCCTAGTAGCTAGGCCTAGGTTATGATAACTTGTGTGTCAATACTAAATTTAATATTTATGCATTTTCATTTTTATTATATTCTTTACTGATTAACTATATATAAAAATTAATATATTATGATAATTCTCCACCACCCATATTTCATCAAAAACTATGATATACTGTAAATGGTAAATTTTCACAGGGATACACTTTTATTTTTCAGGGGTTGATAGACCGGCAAGTAAATTTTTGGAAGACAATGCTATTATTGGAGGGGAGAAGGGCTATTGCATCAACATTGACCCGTCACATAATGCAAAGCATGTTATTTTATTGGCAAAAGACCTGGAGACGCAATTTTTTAATGCTTTAAAGCAACTACTGTATAGTTGTAAATGTTGGATAAAAACCAATGCTTTTTTAAAAGTGTATGTTAAAAGAATGAAAGTGGCAAAGTTATAAAAAAGGAAGGAACTGTCATAAATTGTTGGATGGGCTTTATGTAAATAGTAGAAATTTAATTTGGTAATAAATACACAGGTGAGACTTAACGGTACCGTAAGTGTAATTGTTTGTTGATTAAAATGTATCCTGCATCATGCACAGATGAAATTTTAGTGAAGTGATGAATGTACATAATTTTGATCAGATAGTGAGTATGATGAATGGTGAGTTAATACTGTTAGGGTAATTGTTTTACTTTTCAAATATTTAGAATAATGACAAGCAAAGAAGACAACTTCAAATCTCATAATTTGTAATTTGGTGGATCTGAAAAGAACCGTTTGGTTTGGAAAAATATTGGCATGCCACACATGATCTGGTTTTCTTCTTTCTTCGAAGATGCAATTCGTCAATGGTGTTTTTTGCCATCATCATCAGGAAATTCTCAGGAAGACCTCAGATGGAGTGGTTGTTCATGATTCTATAAAATGAAGTAA